AGAGTCGACCGGAGACTGGGTCGGAGCTGCGAAGTGCTGTCGGAACACAGCAGCAGGCTCGCTTTTGGGGCACCCCCCCACTGCGAAGCAAGAAGTGGCTGGTGGCCCTCACCACACCCCTCAAAACTCTTGGGTTCATGTTCTCACGTGGATCCAATGGGTGATGTGTGATGTGATGTATACAATGCCCAAAAATGCTCGGCATTGGTTGAACCTGAAGCTTGGGTCGGCATTATCTTATTCATTATTATGTGTATGTTTAATATACAGTTATTCATTTGTTATATTTCAACATCTCGTTCCATAAAATATGAACAATCAACTCAATTAAAAATAGTAATAGTTATATATATATATATACCAGCACCCTCCAACAGGTCACCACCAGGTCCACTTTTAAGTCTCCATGTCAGCCTCCATTTCGGAGACCTGGCAGGTCTCGGGTGCTGGTATATATAATCAACATATCGCCCAGAGTTCTGGGGGATCTCCGTTCGCTTCACCGAGCTTCGCCCCCGCCGGTTCGCCCCAACCGGCGGAGGTGGGCGACTTCGCCACTGGAGCGACGCGGTGGAGTCTTGGAAATTGGGAGCGAAGCCAGAAAGTCTAAAGGTCAAAGATCTGCGGGATGTGCTTCACCAACACTATAGTCACCAGACATGTCTAGACATGTCTAGACCTTTGATGAGCAAAACCCCTCCTACCAGCATTTCTTTTGGGAAACCAAAGATTGACACCCCATCCCTTCACTGATCCTTGGAGGCTTTCTTCCAATAGCCAAGCTCTGTGCCCTCCACCGCTCTCTGTGCTGCACCTGAGCTGCTGCCCAGAGATGAAGAGCCCAATGGGTGACAAGAAGATCTGCCCCAAGGCTTGCGCGAACAACACGGACGCCCAATCCACCTGGCGGAAGCCGCGCAGCCCAGACGGGAAGCTGACCACTTGGGAGCGAAGACAGCCACAGCTTAGACTGAGCTGGCTGGCTGACAGTCACGGAGTCTGTGAGCTGAGCCTACCATGAAGTTCATAGAGCCTTCAAGCTTAAGGAACAGAGAAGCTGTAGATGTATTCCCAAAGAGGTGGATTCACCCCATATTTGGAAGACAAAAACTCCCCTAAGAAAAACTTAACAAGTAACATCAAATAACTGATCCCGAGAATGAGCACAAGTGGTTCTGGGACGTTCTAGGCAGTGGACCAGCCATCCAGTCCAGGTAGGATGTGTTTTTTTGCCGTCGTCGCCACCGTTTGGGTCGCCTCCCTGCTCAAGTGTACATGGCAAATCGCAGCAAAATCGTCTCAAATGGATGAAGACCTTGCCAAAGAAGAGTCTGTCAGGTACCCTTCCTGAGATTTCTTTCCTACTAAATGATATGTCCTTCCCCCGACCCCAACCCGTTGTTCTCTCCGCCTTGGCGGTGCCCAGGAACTTGATGATCACATAGGCGCCCCCCGCGCTCAGCGAAGACAGAAGGCCAAAGAGCACACCCGACAAGTGTTGGACGCTGCCGCTGGGATTCAGCCTAGCGGTGGGGGGGGGGTCGGTGCAAATGTGACGACGGCGACGACGACGACGACCGAGTGTGGTAGCCTGCTGTTCAGGTTGTTCGTTTTCCGGGGGTCCATGTGGAGTCATTAGTTATTTTGGAGTTTTGAGCAATTCTAGATATTACTTCAGTGGCTGGTGATTCAAACAAGCTGGCATGTGCCAGCACAGTTTCAAGTGTCGAGCACTTCGCT